TCGCACATGCTTTCTGCCATCAGCAGAACATCTCCCTAAGGGTCCGCATTTCAATTGGAGGCCTCCAGACAAAAAGTTGAGAACACGTACAAAAAAGCACACCCCCTCTATGTGTCTATTAAACAAAAAAGACACTGCTCACCTGGTCTTGCCTCCAATGATGGCTGTCTCTTGAAAGTAGTACAATCCCTCTGGTCAAAACATTTATACATAAGACTTGATGTTTTTCAAGCTTTGTGATTCCTGTTACTGTCATGAAAAAGCATAGCTCAAATTCATGAAGGAGTTGAAATATCAGAATGCAGAACTAACTATAGAAACATAAAGAGATTTCTGGGGAAAAAAATGAAATTCAGGAGGTTGCTGGAGTATATTTTTTCTGCAGCAGCCAGTAAATAGTTTTGACAAAGCTGACTTATTATTTGTTGCCAAGGTTTATGTACACCTCTAAAGAAGTTTGGGGGCAAAAAGTGCTTTGGTTGTTTATATTTCTGAGACTAAATCAGGAAAATAATATTGGATTGAAACATATTGCCGTACAGCACATTATATTTTTTAATAAATATACAAAATACAAAAATACAATATATTCAATGTTAGAATACTTGGTACAATTGGGCTTATCACTTTGAGTAGCTTGTAAGGGCAAGAACATCTGTCTCAAAGAACACCCCATAGCAAGTTGTCCCTCATCCCCACATCCCATCTCTTAAATCAAGCCATCACTGGGTCTGTTCTTATAAAAAGACAGTTAAGAAGATATTTACTTCCCAATCTTGGTTTTGTTTTTTGTTTTGTTTGTTTTGGTGGCTAATTTGTCTCAATAAGAAGCTTAAGAAATATTAAATGGGCAGGTGGCAAGACTAGGAAATCCAAGAATGCAAGATAATTTTAAGATTTGCTTTGAGTTCAATTGATCCTTGATAAAGTTTCAATTTATTGAAAATATACATGGAATTGTTTAATACAGAATGTATGTATGCTATGTAGTGCAAGGGGAGCCTTTAAAATATGGAATATCTTGATTGCTCTCCATGGGTAATTTGCTATGTTTATTATTTGGCGGTGTCCCATTAGTGAACAGAAAAGAAATACAATTCTTCCCCACATACCTATATTTTCCAGGTATATGGAAAGAAACACTGGGTGTGACCCTGTTATAAATTGCTGGCAAAACCCACTTTTGTCTTAGCGGGCGGCAACATCTGGTCAATGTGTTTGGTCTCAGAAGCCAGGTAGGATTGGTTCTGATTAGTTTGTGGAAGGGAGATCTCTAGGAAATTCTAGAGCTGTAGGCTAAACTTTAAAGCACAAGTCAGTGCACAAAATAATTCTGCAAAAATTAAATGGCGAACCGTCTCAATAGTACTGTCAAGAAAACTTTTGTCTATGTAACCATCAGGAATTGAAGTCAACTTGAAGATGACTTTATTTTCACCACTTGAGCATGAAGGCTCTTTTCTATCATCTCTTTGGGAAGCCTCCATTATTCAGTCCTATCAAAACTGAAATTCTTTGCATTTCCATGATAATATAGAAAGCAGGAATTTGTTGCTCTGGAAATATCAATTTTTGTCTGATGCTTTAAATTCCCCATGTTAATTAGGTAACTTTAATTAGGTAACTGATGAACTTTTTTTAATCCTTCAACTTCTCCTGTGTAGCCATATCACATAGTTCCAAGACTGCTGAATTGGAGCTTCATTTGGTGCCATGGAGTTGAACTCACACTTTGAATTTTCTTTTCCAATACTAGGACGAGATTCTATTTTTTTAGAGATGATGATTTTTTTACAATGTTTCTAAATCTGTTGTAACACTTCACAGAACAAAGTAAAGGTATCTTTTGTCATAAGTGTCTGGGCACTGAGATGGAATTTAGTAGACCAATAGTGCCTCAAAGACAATGATGGCTCACCTATACAACAGTAGAACAAGTATAAATACAAGAATGAGATATTCATGGAAGGAGATTACTTTGACTATGGTGCCTGGGAGTGGTGCCACATATGCAAAAAAAAAAAAAATAAAGTTGGTGAAGTCTGCATTAATGTATTTAAACTGCTAACACTATGAAGCATTACATTTGCGTTCTTATAAGAAGATGAGGAAAGGAAGTGTTAGATCCTGGAATATTACCCAAACATCTGGGAAAGGCATTTCCCAAATTGTGCCAAATGATTGATGAAATGATTAATTATTATGAAAGAGAGTGGTTAAATGAATCTGCAGTGTTGAAATGCTTTGCTCTTCTGGAGAATGGTTCTATGATACTGCAATTTCGGTGATTTAGGATGTCTAATTGCCACATCCAACTGCTATTTCAAGAATGTATATGATATTAACCTTGATTTATATCATTCCAATTTTGGGAGTAGTCAGACAGTGAACTGATAATCTCTGAATGGGCTTAGCCACCATCGCTCTTATCATAATTATCAATCATTTTTATATTTTAAATGACTATAAGAAATAATAAGCTTGGAATCCTTTCTCCATATTTTATGGCTTTTTCAGTCCTACATTTTGCCTGTGAACATATAAACTGTGACAACCTCTAAAAAAATAATCACATCAATTCATTCACTTAATACTAATTTCCACAAGGTTTTTTTTTCCTGGTTTTGTAATGATATAAGTGTCTATCATGCAATCTTTAATATTAGTTCTCAGTTAAGCATTTGGCTTAAATTCAGATTGACTCCTTTAACATTATTCTCTGTAAAATTTATTTTTCAGATATTCTGCTAGTCAGGTGGGAGACGTTCCTGCACTTTGGGAGGATTTTTAGGGGTGAAATTCTAACTGTGTTTGCTAGCAAGTAAATCCCACTGAATTATGAAGGACTTACTTCTGTTTAAATATGCTGCACATGACCAAACTGCATGAGTGAAGATAAATAGCTCCCACATGATGGGAAAGAGAGCTGAAGAATATATTCTGTGGATCAAAAATCATAAGAGACTTGAGTTTTCTGTACTTCTGCTGATAATTAATGTATAAAGTGAAAATTCATATATCCGCCACAAGAGAAATTATGTTCCCCAAAAAAGGTAGTATAATGTGTCCATTTCCTCACAAGTGGTGAATATGTCCCACTTTAGGGGACGTGTTGATGCAGAGGCTTAATTATGCTGGATGTGCTGAACAATTGCCAGCACTCCGGTGGTTCGAATCCAGCTCCACGCGACAGGGTGAGCTCCTGTCTGTTGTCCCTTGCTCCTGCCCATCTAGCAGTCCGAGAGCATTGTTTGCGAGTAGATAGATAGGTACTGCCAATTTGGTGGTGGGAAACTGGTGGCTGCATTCTGTGCGGGGAGCTGGAACCAGCGCTAGGTTTACTCAGATGCAATTGGCAGAAGAATGGTAAGTTCCTGAGTGAGCTTAATTCCTCTGAGAACACTGTAGGCCAGCCTATGTGAAGTGTAGTTTGCCCTCTTGTGGTGCACCAATGCAAAAAACGGACTAGCGACTGCCAAGACTTCTACTGTGTGCATAACATTGTAGCTAAATAAATGTAGAATGTCCCACTTTGAACAGGAGCTAATCTTCTTAAGCAAAGTTCTGGTCATTTGTGATGTATTCCCACACATGGGAAAAAAAAGGGGGTGGGAATGTTGCAGATTCCACTCTCCCTATGCAGTTCAGAGATTTTTGCCTATGTGCCAATTTTACCCAGAAAACACTCCATTGAATGGAAATTTTCCATGCAGGAAAATTGCTCTTCCATTCATGAAAGAAGGAATGTAGAAGATGGAAATCATGGATTTTTTTTAATGTTCTCCCTCACTTCAAGTATAATATCCCCCTTTGTTGGTTTACTACCCTTTCTATGCCATTGCCCTTCATCTTGATTTTTGTTTGTTTGTTTGATCCACATGGCATGGCATGTTCCTCTATGGTGCATGCTGCATCCCTATTGTAGGCGCATCATGGCAGACCAGCATCTCTCCTTTCCCACTCATGAAAATATATGGATGGATTCAGGGAAATAAAGAGTTCTAGATTTGTGACTCAGGTATAGGATTTGGAAGGCAAAGCTGTTCCATATATTCTAAGAAAGAGAGAGAGAGAGAGAGAGAGAGAGAGAGAGAGAGAGAGAGAGAGAGAGAGAGAGAATCATATTACACACTTATTTATGAATTCCTATATAGCATTTTTATAGCAATTAGCAATAGATTTTGTTGAGATACTTCTATATGTGTTTACATCTTTTAAAAAAAGGAGAGAAATGATGGCTTGGCTGTTTCAATGAAGATGGAGATATGTATAATTAAAGGTCTGTTGTTTGCAGACTTCTTTCCAATGCTTTTTCTAAAGAAAAATGTCATGAATCTTTAGTTCTCAAGTGACAAGCTGTGAAGGGTGCTTTGTACAAAAGAAAAGAAAACAAATGCCATCTTCGTCTGAACCATTTCTCTAAGTTTTTTTCTTTGAAGTAACCGTGTTCCCCTAGCAATCCCATATAAAATGTAATATAAAATATCACCCACTTCCCAATATTATTCATAGAATTCCTATTATAGTACATTGAGAGGCCAGATTACAGGCAACAGGAATATTTTATGACCAGTTTGAAAATGTGGTTACTGCCGCTATAAATTAAGAAGTGAAATTACTCCCACACTGAGTATTGATATACAGTATATGGCATGAAAAGTCCTTTGACATATGCTGAATAATGAATATGGAGGAGTTCCAAAACTGCTTGGTTTTGGTTTTTTTGCGCAAAGTTGATTGCTGACAAAAAGTTGATGATGGGATCAGGTTGTAGGAAATTAAAGGGTGAAGAACCAGGAGTCTGTTCTCAGGTGTTGGAGCCGGTCCTTCACCTGCCTCACCCTAAACAATTCCCAGCTCAGATTGCCAACTATTTTAAAATGCAAGGAATGAAGAGGAGAAGAGAAACTATGGACTTAGCGTGTTTCTATTAGGCCACGACTGCATGACAGAGTGTAATTGAATATTTCATGATACATAAATAAAATACAATATAACAATGAGAGTCTTTCAAATCAGATCATGCCTAGAGGGCAGAGACAGAAGAGGACTGAAAATGTTGGCCAGGATCCTTCACACAGAAGCGTATATCTCACCCCCTAAAAAGTAAGATGCAAACTGGAAAGTTTATTCTGAGTAATGTTTTTATGAAATTGTTTGTGTACGTGTAATGATGTATGATATATATAGCATGCATACGCTTGTCTGATAATGATGATTATAAGAAAGACAGATGAATAATAATGCAAGAAGATGTAGAAAACTAGATATCTTTTGCATTCATATTTCAGCAGCTATAAAAAAGAAAACAAACAAAATCAAAAAAGGGGGGAAAAAGGACATCGGGAAACCACAGGGTTTTTTTTAAATTGCATGGATAAGATTAAGATGACAACTGAATCACAAACAAAAATATTAACCCTACTCACAATCCTCAGAATATGCAAAATGATACCACCTCAAACAGCCACATTTTATTCCAGACATAAATAAAATCTTGTAACAGTTCATTTAAGGCTATCAGATCCTGTCTGCAGATATCCTCGTGACCACTAGGTAAGCAATATGTTACTGTTTTCTGAATGTCTTGGGTCCCATGTTTTGGGTATCTGAAATCCTAATTTATTATATATTTTGAACACTTGAACTGGTTTTGAGGTTGAGAAATTGTGCACATCTCTCAAAGACAAACATAGTTTAGTTACCCCAAATGGAGTCTTTACCAAAATATTGGACTTCAGTTCTCATGATTCTCTGCCAGCATAGCCAAAATCCAACACATTCAGAGAATTGGAGGAGACAAAGCTGGACTCTGAAGAGGTCAGTGGTGGGAATCCATTGTGACATTAAATTATGGTTAAGTGGGAATTAGTATGGGCCCCTCCTTTTATAATTTCCTCTTCTTGCTTTGCTACAAATATGAGCATTTGGAAGCTTTTTTTTCTGCTTTCAATCATAGATTCCAATCATAGATTCTGAACCAGAAATCTTGACTAATAGTCAAGACCAATTAAAAGGGTTTGTGGGGGGGAGGTTGGCAGTCTATTTGGCATGGGTCTTAAAACTAAAAAAGACTCAAATTTAGCTGCTGTTTTTATTTGGATGCCACCAATAAAAAAGCTATGGGTACACATTCTAATAACATTGGTGCAAAAATAGAGCAGTCTTGCCTGTTGGCCCAATTGCTCTGAACCCTTAAAGGACAAAATCTAAATTGTACGATTTGTGCCCTAGCAGAGGAAGTAAATTGACTCTTGGTCTCTTAAGTATAAAACATTGCAATGTATTGACAATATTAAATTGTTTTTGGCAAGTGGATTGGTCCTTTGAAACAAAATTTGATTTTGTTTTAAAGACCCTTTGAAGCAAATTTTTCTGAGAAACAGGATGAAAATAAACACTCACAAAGAGAGAGAGACACACACAAGTGTCTTCAATGCATTTTAGATAAAATGGCCCATTTAGTTACAAAAAAATCATCAGCAATGTTTCACTCTTAGTTGCACATAAATTGTCTGTTTAACTAATTTGGCTCAACAGCCAAAGATGCATTTGTATATGATCTACTGATTTGCAAGCCAGGATGAAAAGAAATGATAGGCTCCCAACAAGAGAAGGAAAGGATAAAAATTGATACCATTGTATGAATACAAGGGGTACGTGATTTGCATGTGAGTGAAAGTAAAGAGGGGGAAGGCAGAGAGGATAGGATTTATAGTGAGAGGCAGTAGAATTATGCAGGAAAGTTGCTAAAGTCTCTTGGATTTAGCTTGCCTGGGGATTTCTCCTTGAGATGATGACAATGATGATAATAATGGTGATAAAGTTGTTGTTGTTGTTGTTGTTGTTGATGATGATGATAATGATGATGGCAGACAGACTAGGATGTTGGAAAAAGGGCGTTAAAATTGCTCAGCTCAAAGTGACTTTTCTTAATGTACAATCATGTACCAAATCATGTATTCATTTGTACTATTAAATAAAGGCTAACAGAGTTGTACACTCAGCAGAGCAGAAGGGATGCACAAAGGATCATGGGTTCCCAGCATCCTCTGTTCCCTTCTGGAAAGCCGCTGACTCATTCCCTAAACAATCAGCGTTGTGTGCCATTACAAATGGGATGGTTAATAGGCCTGCATCCATTATCATTAGTGCATCTCAGTGCGCAGGTATGTGATGGGTCCTGCCAGCACGTTTGCTCCAGCTCACTGAGCCAGGGACCATGCTCCATTGCAAACGAGGATGAGGAACACCTGCTCCAGGGTTTTTCGGCAGACCAGAGTCATCCTTCACATCTCATGCAACACTTGTTCTGTCAGAATGCAATGCTGGCACACGGGCAGGAACAGTGGTTTGCCAGGCATCCAGCGAAAGATTAGAGACTTCCCTGTGGTCCTCTGCTCAGCCTGAGCTTTGATTCCTTCCACCCCCAACAATCCTCCAAGAAGGCCTTTGAAACATTTGTCAGTATCACATTAAAGGATAAGGTTGAAAGGCTATTTTAAAGGCAAAAAA